GAGTGGTACAGGAGGATACTGAAGATCTGTGGGAGCAAGGCTGGGGTTCTGGGGGTTTGGGCCCTCTGGGGGTCTGGTCATGACTACCTGCTGTTGAATGGACATCTTGCCAGCTTCAGCGATCTTCATGGTGCTTTTGGCAAACTCCAGCTCTGGAGGAAGAGAGAGGAGGGCTCTGGGTCTGGCTGGGGTCTGGGGACTGCCTGGTGCCTGGGGCTGGGCGGAAGGGGTCCTCACCATAGCTGGCTCTCTTTTCAGTCCAGGCAAGCAGTTCCTTGGCATAGCGGCTCCAGGTCTTGGCATATTCCAGGGCTGCATCCACACCCCCATTGGTCCGAATGAGCCGCAAATCCAGTTCCTCCCCTGGGGAAGATGGATGGACCTCTGACCTCTGTATCCTACTCTGCTATGGACGTCTTCCCTAAGCCCCCAGACCAGACCAGTGGCCCCTATCCTATACCCTCACAGCTCCCTTAACATTGCTTTGGGATCACTTATCCTGGTTGCAATTTTACAGATTCTCTGTTTTTGGTTTATTTTTTTAGACAGGGTCTTGCTCTGTTGCTCAGGCTGGAGGGCAGTGGCGTGATCATATCTCACTGCAGCCTCAAAGTCCTGGGCTCAATTGATCCTCTAGCCTCAGCTTCCAAAGTAGCTGGGACTACAGGACCATACCCAGCTAATTTAAATTTTTTTTTTTTTTTTTTTTTTGGTAGGGATGGTGTCTCACTGTTGCTCAGGATGGTCTCGAATTTCTGGCCTCCAGTGATCCTGTCTCAGCCTCCTCCCTGCCTATTTTACAGATTCTCTACCCAGACGGGGGTCTCCCTAAGGGCTGGGACTGGGATCTGTGGTATGTACTGCCTTAGTCCCAAAACCTAAACAATGCCTGGCAAGGAAGAGAGGGTCAATGGTGACTTGTGGAAGGAAAGACTCCTTTTGGTCCCCACTATCCTGGCCTCCAAAGCCCCCTACCTGTGAGGGGTGTAGGACCCTCTGGGGAGGGGCCGCTCCAACAGCTGGCTTCATTGGTCTGTGGGGCAGGGAGACAGTATCAGAAGCAAACAGGGCAGGGACCTGGCCTTCCTAAGGCCCCCTGTGCCTGAAGCCTTCCTCCCTATTCCCCTAGTCCCAACTCACAACAGTGGCTGTGGGGGTCTTGTCAGGTTCTTGGTCTTCTGAGAGTAGAGGGTCTCCAGCCAGCATCTCAAAGGTCCTGGGGGGTAAAGATGTGTCAGGATGCCACCTTATACTCGGTCTGTCCTGCAAGGGGTCTTGGGGATCCTAGGGTTGTTTGTGGCAAACATCATCGCTGTGGCATCTCTTGTATCTGGGAGGTCTGAGGAATGGTATTATGGGGGAATCAGGTGAGTTTTTTAAAATGGGATTTGAGAAAGAGTCTGAAGGGCCCCAGGTAACTTTGGGGTTCATAGAGTAGGATTACAGGGATCACAAATGTTTTAAGGGGTTATAAGAAGGATATGTAGGGGTTCTAGGACCACTTTGGGGATTTCCAGTCTATTTAGGGGGGCACTTATGGGGTACCCAGGCATTTTGGAGGGTCCCATCCTAGACTTCTCTGGCTATTAGGTACGTGGCTCCAGATGTTACAGGTTCCAAATGGGACTTCAGGGCACCTAAATGGTTAGGGGCTTGGGGCATCTTGGCAGGATTTGGGGGTGACCCAGGCTCAGACTCACACGTTCCCCAGTGAGATTTCAAGGTTGTCCAGGCTCCGGAAGATGTCACTGTACCTCTTCCTGCCCTCAGAAGCCGGGGGGAGGCCTGGGGGAGGAGAGTATAATACATGGGCTAACCACTGCCTCCTCCACCCATGGCATCTCAACCAGTCTCATTGGAGGGGGTGGAAGAGAAAGGGAAAGAGAGAGAGAAAGAGAGGGGTGTGGGGGCTTGGTTGGGGCCAACTTGAGGCAGGCAGATGGACTCACACACCACCAAACAGAGACCAGAGACAGCTGCTCAGGGAACAGAGACACCCACACCCTGGGTCTGCCTGGACCCAGAAGCAAACTAACAAAACAGATGCCCCAGATGCAATCACAGTGTCCAGAGAAGAGAGCAGGCCTGACAATGGAACCACAGGCTAGACAGATGGAAATACACAAGGGGCAGCCAGGCAGAGCCTAAGGCAGAAACACACATGGAGAGACTGAAGCCATGAGGGACATAAAGACCGAATGACACTACACACACAACACAGACACAAAGACGGCCGGAAACGCCAAGTCAGACTCTGCCACATTTCTGCTGCCCCCGCCCCTGCCCCTTCTCCTAGGGGGCCCAGACCAGCACTGCCCAGCTCCCGGGGGCTACAGAGGAGCCCTGTGGGGATCCTACCGCGTTGCCCTCTCCCTCAGCAGTCGTGACACCCTGCCCCCATCACAAAAATCAGAAGCAGAAGCGGCCACTTCCCCTTCCTGGGCCCCCTCCCCCAGGCATCCGGGGTGAGAGATCAGAAGAGGGAGAGGGAGTCAAGGGCTGATGTCCCGAACCCCTCCAGGCATAGGGGTCCCCATAATGGAGGATCCTTGTGTCGTTCCCATTCAGGAACTTCTCTCCTGGCTCTCGGGACAAGTGTGTCCCCTCAATATAGGAAGCAGGGGACGGTTGGGGGAGGCCCCTCCTGAATCTCCGATCCCCTACCCGGCTCTGCTGCGTCCATGCCTGGGCCCGGGGATCGCTCTGCGGGGACCGGGATGGGGATAGGGTCTCGCGCCGGCGGGGCCGAGCCCCAATTTCCTGCCGCCGCTGCCGCCGCCCGAGTTCCGCGTTGCTCCGCCCGGCGGAGGCCACGCCCCCACATCAAACCACGCCCCAAGTGGCCACACCCCCAAAGCCCGGAAGCCTTTATAGCACCCTGGTCTACCTGAGCCGCTTGAAGCTGGGTCGGGGCCGGTGCCCCCTGAGCTACCACCCAGGGCTGCAGTGCCCCTGACCTGGGCATCCTAGGACTTCATCTAGACCATAGTTTCCCTCCCAGATCTTTGTGCCGCCCCAAATCCCACGGAACCCCAGCGCCTTCCTACCCGAATGGTTGTAGAGTCCATCCGTCCCGGGGAGCCTGTCCCAGGAGCTCCCACAATCCACGACCGCAGTGATCCCCTTGCCCAGGGATCTCTCGGAGTCCTGAAACCACCTCGGCCTCACTGGATCCATGGTGCCCTCTAGTGGAGGCCTGATATTCTGCCCGATTCCAACTGAAATTCTAATACTCTGGGGCTGGAGAACCCCTGGCCTGGGGAACCCCCAGTGATCCTCAAAGCTGGATCAGGCTCGAGGCCCCAATTACAGCAAAGCAGGAAGCGGCCCTTTTAGGCAGGGGGTGGAGGTTTGTCCAGAAGCGCCAGCTCTGGGGTTGCCACAAGCCGCTGGTAAGCTGTAATGTTCCCATACCCAGCACTCAGTGGACTTTTGGGGCTGGAAATACAGACTTTAAAGTATGTTTATAACTTTACTTCCTAAAGGCTTTGGCTGCTAAGGAGGCAAGAATTCTTCGACTAGGCCGGGCGCGGTGGCTCAAGCCTGTAATCCCAGCACTTTGGGAGGCCGAGGCGGGTGGATCACGAGGTCAAGAGATCGAGACCATCCTGGTCAGCACGGTGAAACCCCGTCTCTACTAAAAATGCAAAAAATTAGCTGGGCATGGTGGCGCGTGCCTGTAATCCCAGCTACTCAGGAGGCTGAGGCAGGAGAATTGCCTGAACCCAGGAGGCGGAGGTTGCGGTGAGCCGAGATCGCGCCATTGCACTCCAGCCTGGGTAACAAGAGCGAAACTCCGTCCCCGCCAAAAAAAAAAAAAAAAAAAAGAATTCTCCGACTGGCTCTGTGCTGCCTACTCTGCAATTCTTGAGTTGTGATGAGTGAGTCCATTGAAAGGAAGGACACTGCTGAGCTAAGAGTCAAGCCAGGCTTCCGGGTCACATTGTAGCTGATGCTCAGCTAGAGCTCCCTGACCGTGACACGAGATGGTACAGCAGCACAGGACCGCAAAGGTGTGACAGTCAATACTTGTAATGATGCGGATCATACTCCTCACGTCTCAGACACCACCAGAGAAGAAGGCATGCTGTTATCTTATGTATTATGGGAAAGAAAAAAATACCACTCATTCTAAGGCTTCTCAGCGCCTGAGCTGTAAAAATGTGAAACCAACCATGAAAATATGGAGATACTATTTTTTTTTTTTTTGAGATGGAGTCTCGCTCTGTCGCCCAGGCTGGACTGCAGTGGTACGATCTCCACTCACGGCCACCTCCACCTTCCATGTTCAAGTGATTCTCATGCCTCCGCCTCCTGAGTAGCTGAAATTACTGGCGCCCGCCCCCACACCTGGCTAATCTTTGTACTTTTAGTAGAGATGGGGTTTCACCATGTTGGCCAGGCTAGTCTTGAACTCCTGATCTCAGGAGATCTGCCCACCTCGGCCTCCCACAGTGCTGGAATTACAGGCATAAGCCCCTGCACCCGGCCAGGGAGTGCTTGTTAAATTAGAAAATATGCACTGAATTTTTTTTTTTTTTTTTTTTGAGACGGAGTTTCACTCTTGTTACCCAGGCTAGAGTGCAATGGCGCGATCTCGGCTCACTGCAACCTCCGCCTCCTGGGTTCAGGCAATTCTCCTGCCTCAGCCTCCTGAGTAGCTGGGATTACAGGCACGCGCCACCATGCCCAGCTAATTTTTTGTATTTTTAGTAGAGACGGGGTTTCACCGTGTTGACCAGGATGGTCTCGATCTCTTGACCTCGTGATCCACCCGCCTCGGCCTCCCAAAGTGCTGGGATTACAGGCTTGAGCCACCGCGCCCGGCCTGCACTGAATTTTCTGAGCAGGGACAAGTCCAAGTTCAACTGCTGAAAGTGCTACAGGGTTTCACCAACATCGCACACCCTTTTGGGAGGGGGGTGGTGCCTTCTTCAGTGACCCTCTGTCCCCAGTCTCACAGCAAACACTGTGTGGCGCAGATGAGGTAGAGGCAGGGCTTTTTAAAATCTCAGATGCTGCTTTATTTACCAAAGGTGCTGGCTCGGGGCTGGCTCTGCCAAGCCAGCGGATGGCTGTGGGGGTCCCAGCTCAGTCTTCCAAGAGCGAGGCTGTACAGCCTTGCCGTGGGGGATTGGGGACGGGGCTCCCTCCCGGGGCCCTGGTGGGGTTCCCGCCCAGCAGCAGCCAGGGTGGGCAGTGGGTACCAGCACTGCCGTCTCAGGAAGGCACTTTCAGCTTCGGGGTCCCCAAGAAGAACTGCAGGACGCGGTCGGCCAGGAGCGCCAGGCAGAAGTCCAGGAGCAGGACCTGGGCGATGACTAGCTTGAACTGTGAGGGCAGGGAGGGATGGTGAGCTGGAGACCTGCAGCCTGGCCTAGGGTCACCGCCACAGGAAGGACCCATCAAGCTGAGCCCCAGGGTCACATCCACAGGGCCACTGACCTCCACAGGGATGTCCACGAGGCCAAACTGGCTGTTGAAGTCAGGCGAGGAGCCGAGGAGCAGGCCGACGATGGCCAGGAGTGACACTGCCAGACTCCACACCAGGGGCTTGTTCTCAGGTAGGCTCTCCATGAAGGGAGGGCCCTGTGGGGATGAGGGACAGATGGCTTCATGGGTGGGGCTGGGTGGGCAGACAGGGAGTGTTCAGGCGGGGCCCAGGCATCACCTTGTAGTTGATGGCGAAGGTGGCCATCTGCATGGCCATGGCCATGATGTAAACAGTGCTGTTGACCAGGCTTGGCTCAAACTCCTTGTACAAGTCCACGAACTGCTCCTGCCTGCAGGGACACATGGGGGTCAGGTCCCCGTCTTCTGCTCTGGCTCACACACTCTGTGACTTCCTGCTGCCCTGGGACAGAGCCAGGGCCCTGCCTGTCCTGTGCCCCTCCCTGGTCACCCTGGACAACCCCCAGGCTCTCCTGCTGATGTCTGTGGAGTCACCCTCCTGCTACTGTCAGCTGCAGAGACATCCCCTCCTCCGGGCAACACTTACTTCTCGGGGCTCCGGGCCTGGGCCTCACGGTACAGGTAGACGAGGCTCAGGAAGTGCACAAAGAACTGGAGCATGACGGTGAGGATAGTGTACAGGTTGAAGATGTTGGGCAGGGGTCGTTCTCGGGAAAGGGTCTTGAGAGGCTGCAGCAGCAAGGCAGGTTGAGGGGAGGTCAGGACCTGGCTCACTTGGGGCCACACTGACCACTCAGCAGGCAGTAACATCCCCTGCCTCCTGGGAGGCCTTGTGCAGAGCCGCCACCAAATCCTGGAGGATTCCTGGGTCGGCAGCAGTCCCCCAGCCCTGTCTGCCTGTGACCCTGAGCCCAGGGCTGCTTCCCTGGCTGTGGATCCACCATCCAGCCTCCCAGTGGCAGCCACAGGGGCCTAAGAACCATGAAGCAGAACCTGCCCTCCCTGGAGCCCATGGGACAGGCACAATGCTGCCCAGGCAACCTCCCACTCCCTCCAGCTACCGGGGCCTCCCTGCCTCAGCCCATGCCTGGCTGAGGTCTTTCTGTCTAGTTCCTGGCCACTGGCCCTCTGGTTCTTTACACCTCGGCCTGAGTGTCGGGTCACACAGACGTCCCCAGCTGTCCACCAGCCTGTCCTGTGTAGCCGGTGATCCACTTAGTTGCTTTTTACCCTCTTGATAATTGTCCCTTGCTTGTGGGGCTCTGCACAGCCCACCCTGGGATCCCTGCCCATGGACAGGTGTAGGACCCCAAGTTGTGACACCTGGAAGGGTCTGGAAGCCTCAGTCCTCACCTGCCCTGCCGGCATTTCCTGGGCCATCCCAGCTACAGCCCCTACCTCTGGGGCCCTGGGTCCTGTCTGTAACCTGGGATGACAGTTCCTGTGCCTGTGACAGCCTGGCCCTGGCTAGCCCATGCATCCCTGACCTCCCAGCACCACTGGGGCCCACCTTGGAACGGGAGATGAATAGGAAGCAGCCGGCCAGCAGCAGCCCCTGTAGGGTGGCCTGGAAGTCACTGAACTTGACCCCCTCCAGGTAGAGGACGCTCTGGCTGTAGGCCAGGATGAGGGCGTTGAGTGCCAGGATCTTGAACATCTGCAGCGTGGTCACCAGCGTGCAGCGGCCCTGCTTGATCACGTGGCAGACTGCAGGGTTGCGGGGAGGCAGCTGTGGGTGTGGGTGTGCTTACCAGCACCAGCGGGGGAATGGAGGAAGGGGAGCAGGGCTTGGGGGACTCACTGCACTGGATGGACGAGAGCTTGGAGGTGAAGGGTGCTGCGATGCTGGCGTCCCCCAGCTTCACAATGGGCGTGTTCTCATCCTCAAGGTCTCGAAGCACCTGGCTCAGGCGGTCCTGCAGGGTGGGCAGCAGGGTGTCAGCCCTGGCCAGGAAGGGGTGCAGAGCCTCCCCTCTTGGGACTTACCCTCTGGGAGGCCAGCTGCTCCTCGGAGGGAGGGAGCCCTGACCGCTGCTTGGCTGTCCTGGAGGTGGCTCTGATGCCACTGTTGTTCAGGGTTGGGCTGTCCCGGGGCCGCCGTCGCCGCTCCACGACTCGCTCAGGGGCATTGGCCAGGAGTGCCACACCTGCCAGGCAGGAGGGTGTCAGGCCCGGAGGAGCGGGCTCCATGGAGGGGCAGATTCGCTGGCCTCAGAGCCCCTGCTCCTGAAGCTCCACAGCTGGCTCCTGTCAGGACAGTTCCCAAACTTCCCCATTTCACTTGACCCCCTAAGGAGACCTCAGAAAGCACCCATGTTGCTTTCTACAAATTACTTTAAGAAAACAAACCACCGCTAACAAACTCCCACAACAAATGCAATGAAAAAACACACACTAGGCCGGGCACGGTGGCTCAAGCCTGTAATGCCAGCACTTTGGGAGGTAGAGATGGTCGGATCACCTGAGGTCAGGAGATCAAGACCAGCCTGGCTGATATGGTGAAACCCCGTTTCTACTAATAATACAAAAATTAGCTGGGGGTGGTAGCATGTGCCTTTAATTCCAGCTACTCAGGAGGCTGAGGCAAGAGAATCGCTTGAACCTGGGGGGCAGAGGATGCGATGAGCTGAGATCACACCACTGCACTCTAGCCTGGGCAACAGAGTAAGACACGGTCTCAAAAACTGAACTGATTTCAAAAGAAATCGCCAAGGAGCGTGATTCTAGGAGGCAAACAATACTCAAAAATTGTTTTATAGATAAAAACAGATAAATATTGGAAAACAAAAAAAACAATGTGAGGTTGATCTTTAAAGTTCAATTTAACACCTCTGTTCTTGTAAAAAAAACACAAAACAAAACAAAACAAAAACACAGCCAGGTGAGGTGGCTCATGCCTGTAATCCCAGCAATTTGAGAGGCCGGGGAGGGCGGATCACCTGAGGTCAGGAGTTCAAGACCAGCCTGGCCAACATGGTGAAACCCCATCTCTACTAAAAATACAAAAGTTAGCCAAGTGTGGTGGCAGGCACCTGTAATCCCAGGTACTTGGGAGGCTGAGGCAGGAGAATTGCTTGAACCTGGAAGATGGAGGTTGCAGTGAGCTGAGATCGTGCTATCGCATTCTGGCCTGGGTGACAGAAACAGGCTCCATTAAAAAAAAAAAAAAAAAGACAGGGTCTTGCTCTGTCATTAAGGTTAGAGGGGATCACACCACTGTCTTGAAGACTCAAGTGATTCTCCTGCCTCAGCCTCCCAAAGTGCTGGGATTCCAGGCAGGAGCCACAGTGCTCAGTCATAAGTGCTTTCGACAGAAATCTGAGGCTATGAACCGCCTGCACAGCTCCAGCTCTAGGTTTTCTGAGTCACTCTCCCAGCTTGTTGACTCTCTCTCCAGGCCTCTGGCCTCCACCCTGCTCTGTTCCTGGGATATGAGCATTCCTTCTTACCCTGAAAGCCCCTAACCTTGCAGCCTCCTCCCATCCCCTGCACTGCTTCCTCACAGAAATTAGTGCCCCCATGGCTGTCCCCGAGCACCAAAGGCTGTCTTTCTAGCTCAGTGATGTGTCCCCAACACCTGGTCCACAAAGGAAGGAACCGCCCTAGCCCACAGCACTCACCCACATCAGCGTGCTTCAGGGCGCCCACGTCATTGGTGCCATCCCCACACATGAGGGTCACGTAGCCCAGCTCCTTCAGGCTGGTGATGACGAACTCCTGTGTGGGCAAAGACAGGCTCAGCAGGGACTGTGTGCCTGTGTGCCTACCTCTGTGCCCTCAACCCCCATGGCTGTACACGTACCTTCTGCTTGGGGGCCACACGGGCAAACACCTGCACATGGGGGATGAGGTGGAGCAGCTGCTGGGGGTCGGTGGCCTGCAGGTGGGCTAGGCCATCACCTGTGAGGCACAGAGCATGCTCCAGGGCCAGCGCCTTCGGGGAGCCCCGGGCCAGGGGCAGCACGATGCTACCATCAATGGAGCGCCACTCACACGGCTGGCCTGTGGGTAGTACCCAGGGTTAGGGCTGGGGGCTTGGTTGCCCAGGCTCAGTAGCACGCTCCCTCCACTGGGACCCTAGCACCCGCCAGTCTCTCCTCTCTGGAACCACCACCTCCCTACTGGCCTCGGTGACCCTCAGCCCTGCTCTGGGCACTCCACAGAGAATGTTCCGCACATGCACATGGTGGAACCCAGGGCCTGAGCTACTTGCCTGAGATCACGGAATAGAGCCAGATTAGAACCCAGACAGCCTGACCCCAGGTAAGTCATGCCCCCACCTCATGCAAAGACCCCTAACCTGAAACATACAAAAGGGGGCTGCGGCGTTTTCCTTGGGAAGCACCCAACCAGGGCCTCACCTTGTTTGTCCCTGTGCCTGCGGCCCATCCGAAATACTGTTTTCTTGGGGCTAGGTACCCCCCTACTGACCCATCCGAAATACTGTTTTCTTGGGGCTAGGTACTCCCCTACCCCCCAACTCTGACAGGGCCCCCCCGAGTTCTCAACTTCCTGTTGCTCCACTTCCCCTTTCTTTTTTTTTTTTTTTTTTTTTTTTGAGACGGAGTTTCGCTCTCGTTACCCAGGCTGGAGTGCAATGGCGTGATCTCGGCTCACCGCAACCTCCGCCTCCTGAGTTCAGGCAATTCTCCTGCCTCAGCCTCCTGAGTAGCTGGGATTACAGGCACACACCACCATGCCCAGCTAATGTTTTGTAGTTTTAGTAGAGACGGGGCTTCACCATGTTGACCAGGATGGTCTCGATCTCTTGACCTCGTGATCCACCCGCCTCGGCCTCCCAAAGTGCTGGGATTACAGGCTTGAGCCACCGTGCCCGGCCTCCACTTCCCCTTTCTTGCCGGCTGGCCCTGGCTTGGATGCTGGGCACTGAGGATGGCTGAGGGTGACCCACCAGCCCTCCCAACGCTGGCCTGCTCACCCTGGACTGTCTCAAGCTGAAGGGCAGCTCACCTCCACCTGGCTTGTGCTGTAGCTGCAGTTAGACCAGCTTCACTTGTCAATCAACAGCCCTGCTCCTCCCCTCCAGACCACCTGCCCGCAATCCCCACACTCTTGGAAGAGCACGGTAGCTGGGGCTGGGACCAGGGAGACCTGGGACCAACAGCACAGAGGGAGGACAGAGACCTAGTCCTCTGAGAAGTGGCCCAGAGATTCTGGAAGCTGCCCTGGCCAGGACCTGTGAATGTTTGCTGCCGGCAGCCCTGTGGCAACGCCGCTCCCCGTGGCTCTCCTTAGGGCACTCTGTCGCCATCACGCAGGCCCTGAACTGTGTGCACCCACGGGGGCTTCGCCTCCAGCCCTGGGGCAGGCGTCTGGTAGACCCTACTCCTCTATCCAGGAGGGGCTAGGTCTGTATGTCTGCCTGTCCATCAATCTGAATCCAGGGCACTGTTCGAAGAGGTCACCAGGGAGAGGTTGGAATCATGAGCCCTGGAGTCAGGTTGAGTTCCAATCCTTAGCCATGGTGACATCCAGTGGCCTGGGCAAGTAGGTTCACTCCTGAGCCCCTGTCCCTTCTCTACAAAGCAGGGACCCTGAAAGCTGACCCAGCCAGCTTCCTCCTATGGTGTGGGGAAGGCAAGCCGCTCCGTGTCGTGCAGGACAGGGTGGAGGGACCAATGCAGTCACACACACAGAGCTCTCAGCCCGGGGTCTGGCCAGGCTGAGCACTGGGCAAACAGTGCCATCAATTGCAGCTGAGAATGCCAGCGGTCCCTGTGCTTGGGAAGGGAACTCTTGGTTACACAGGCACCTTGCCGGGCCAAGGAGGGTGGGAGGATCAGGATGGGGAGCAAGTGTGGTCGGAGCAGCATCTGCCCATGAGTGCACCGGAAACCCGAGATGGCAGTCACACTGTTGCCTTGTTACGGTAAATAAATAAACACCTGCATGCCACAGATCCTAGGACCTGGGACCCAGTGACTGCCTGCACGCTGTCTGAGGTGACTCCAGGGCTGTGATTAGTGGTACCACCGTGGTGCCAGGCATTTGAAGACACTGTGCTGCCGTAGCCTGGCACACAGGTAGGCTGTGGTGATGGAACTGCTGTTGGACTCAGGGTCCCCCTTCCCCACTGCAGGCAGGGCTGGGGCCTCACCTCTCTCGGAGGGAGGCTGCAGGATCAGCGTGTGGGCCTTTTCAATGAAGTGCAGCTCCTGGGCCACGTGGCAGGCAGTGAGTGGGTTGTCTCCCGTAATCATGACCACCTTGGGGAGGGAAGGGCGGAGGCTCAGCAGGGTAGCCTGGGGCCAAGCTCTAGGCCACAGACAAGGCTGCCAAGTCTCCTCCTAAAGCAGGCCGCAGTGGAAGATCCCTGGCCTCTAATAAGACACCCTGAATAGGCTTCCAAGGGCCACAGTCCACCCCCACTCAGGTTGTTTTACACAAATGACACGTGTATGTGTGTCCTTCTGAGGACATCCTTAGCTTAGATTTGCCATATAAATTAACAACCAGCCCTGGGGGTGGACTCCCTTGGCTTGGTGGCTGCCTATGGGGGTAATATTTCAGTGATGAGGAGGATGGGACCATGATCTCTGGGCCTGGTGGGGACTGATCACATCACCTGTCTCCCCCAGAATCATCATCCTCTGAGATGACTCACATACCCTAAAAACATACCCTACGTCCCAAAATAGAAAACATGAACCACCAGAGACAACACAGAAACCACCAGGCCAGGCAGGCGCTGCCGCACGCCCCTCGCCTCCCCAGCCTCAGCTTCCTTCTCTCCAGGATGGCGGTGGACTGGGGAGGTGGAGAGAAGCGGCCCCGCCTTTCCATGATGCGAGGGGCGAGGCGGGTGGTCTGTGAGGGTGAGAGAAGCCAGCACGGGCAGGTCCCCGAGCGTCCTTGGGCCAGGGGCAAGGTTAGCACCTGAGCTATGATCTTGCTCAGCCAAAATGTACGGCCTGTGACACCTGGGTGCCCACCCCCACCACAAAGCTGGAACTGTCCTCTCCTGTCACCTCCTTGCCTCTATCCCATGCAGAGCGTGGAGCCAAGCCCCGTCCCATACCCGGTGGGACGCGTTCTGGATCTCCCGGATGACGGCCTTGGAGTCAGCCTTGAGCGGACAGGAGACCACGATGAAGCCAACGAACTTGAGGCTGCACTCCAGGACCTCCCGCTTGACCTCCCGGGCCTGTGGACAGACAGGGGCACCCTCACTATCTGTCCCTCTCTCTGTTTCCTGAGCTCTGACCATGCGCTGGGAGCCAGGGGACAATGGAAGGCCCTGTTCCCATAGTGGGGACATGCGAGGGTCGGGAGGGGAGAAATGCCAGGAGGGTACCAAGCACACTCAAGGGGTGGGATTTGGCAGTGACTGGGGGCTCTGGGTCCCCCAAATGTGGCTCGATGTCCTAGTTGTGGACATGGACACACCTCAGAGCCCCTTGTGGTTCAGCTGCCTAGTCAATGAAGTAGGGACTCTCCCAATAATGTTGGAGTTTAGCCATGAACCCTTACTCACTGGGGCTCCACCACATACCAGAGACTGACCACATACCCCTGGCCTTAGGGAGCTCACAAAGCACCAGGGGAGACACAGATCAAGAAAGTTACAGAAATCAGAGTGCTGAGTGCCATGAGGGAGGAGGTGAGGATGGAATCTAGAAGCGGGTGGAAAGGCCTCAGAGATGGCCACTCTGAAGGCGATGAGAACCTGTGCCACTGGGGAGGGGCTCCAGATGCAGGAACGGGGCACAGAGAATAGGCTGTGAGCTGTGGCCTGGGCTCTGCACACAGCGCTGCAACCTGACGCTAAATTCCAGAAGGATCTGCAGCTGTAGGGTGCCAGCAAACTGAACAAGAGCCCAGGAAGAAGCCAGCAAAGTGGCAGATGTGCTGGCAGTGGAGGTGGAGGGTGGGATTTGTGGATGATGGATGGGTGAGAGGGCTGAGGATGCCACCAAGCCCTGCCTGAGACGCTGGCAGAAGAGTAGTGCTAGGGTCACACCTGGACTGCGGGGGTGAGGCTGGCATGTGCCGTGTGAGCCAGGACTGAGTGGGTCTCCACAGCAGGAGACTCAGGACTGAGGACCATCTGGGGTCTCCTAAGGCAGAAGCTGGAGGTGGGGCAAGGAGGACAAAATCGCGACCACTTGACCTGGCACTGTAGGGGACCGGAGGTGACCCAGGGAAGAGCTGGCGGGCCAGGCACATAGTGAGGGCGGGCGGGGGTGCCTGGGTCCATACCTGTTGGTGGGTGAGGTGTCCCAACTCCTTGTACCCCAGCGCAAGGACTCGGGCTCCTTCCCGGGAGATCTCGGTGTGGATGTGGTGGTAGTCGGGTGGGCACTGGGAGAACTGCAGGGAACGCAGGGGGACGTCATGGGCCGCCCAGCGCCCCTGCCCCTTGCCCCAGGCTGGGGCCAGCTCACCATGGAGTGCAGAGTTTCGGGGGCCCCCTTCACAGCCGCGATGTAGCAGAGGTCAGTGGAGCCCAGCTTCTCATACGAGGCAAGCACGGACATTCGCTTCAGGGCACTGGCAAAATGAAAGCGCTGGTGAATTTTCAGCCCCTGAGTTTTAATACTTCGGGGGAATACTTTCTCATCTGGAAACAAATAAGTACGAGTCCTGAGGGGCTTCGCTCCAAAGAGGAAGCCAAGCCCCCACCTCTCCCCCCGGCCTCCCCCACCTCCCTCCTGCCTCCCCCAGGGCCTGATCAGGGGCTCTAGGATAGAACAGGGGCTGGTCTAGAGCTGGAAGACCTGGACTCAGAAGATCCTGGCACTGTAGCTTCAGCCAGGGCAAGGTGGATTCCAACCCCAGGGGACCCCAAGGATGTGGCCTGTCTTGGGTCTAAGGTGAGCCTGTGACCACCCACCTCAGAGAGCATCAGTTGTAGGCCTGCCTGTCCCCAAGTTCCTCTGAGGGGTGCAGCCCGCCTGCCTAGGACTTGAGAGCCAGTGGCTCCCCCTTGCTGTGCCTGAGGCCCCAGCCCCTCACCTTTGGTCAGCGTCCAGTCCACGGCCGTCAGCATGGCCTTCTCTAGGGGGTCACCCACGAGGGTGCCATCGTCCAGCTGCATGAGCGAATGGCATGAGGCCAGGGCCCGGTGTGTTTCTACAGGGATGCTGGACACAGGAGTCACCTCCTTCCCATCTCTGCAAGGACGGGGAACAGCTGGTTACAGGGTGCAGGCAGATGGGGCGAAGCTGCGCTTCCACTAGTGGAAGGATCCTCATCGGAATTCAATCTGCGCCAGTCACTGGGGGCCTTGGGTGCCATCTGGGTCCCTGTGAGACCCGCAGCTGCTTCACAGATGCCCCCAGAAGCCAGGCATGGTGTGTGGGGTCATGCGGCTGCAAGGCTGGTGCGGGGTGTTCCAGGCCTGAGCTGGGCCGCCGTGCCTCTGCCTTGGCTCACACCCAGGACTTTAAGGGGAACTCCTGAGGCAGGGCCCTCACTGCCCGTGAGTGAGGGCTCGGGCTCGATGGGCTACCTGTCCCTCGACCTCCCAGAAACCCCAGCTGGGTGACCCTTAGCCCAGGGCCCCTGACGCTCACCTCAGCCCAGCCACGCCACGCACCACCAGGCTGTCACTGGTCAAAGTCCCCGTCTTGTCAAAGCAGCACACCTCAACCTTGCCAGCAAAGGGGATCCGGAAGGGCTCTGTGCAGTACATGTCTAGGGGCGGGAGTGGGGTCAGGGGTCCTGCCTGGCCCCAGCCCGCTTGGCGCCCCACCCCGTTCAACACACTCACAGAGCTTGGCCAGGGCGATGAGGGAGGTGTTGACGGCCAGGGACAGCTCGATGGGGAGCTCAGGGGGCACCACTGAGGTAAGGATCAGGGTGCACTCCAAAAACAGCTTGTAGCGGTTCCGGCTGGGGTCTTTGGTGCCTGCGAAGAAGGGTCTGCCAGCCTGGGGCCTCTTGGGGCGGGTGCAGGGGACTTTGGGGGCCATGGCACTTACCTTCAATCCACACATAGGCGGCTGCAGCAATGGCAAACACCAGGAGGAAGAGGATGAAGATGAAGGTCTCCAGGTTGTTTGCAGTCACCCTCTTGACCCCGAAGAGGATGGTGCGCAACAGCTTGCCCTGGAAGGATCGAGGGACAGCCTTTCTGCTGTCTGGGCTCCCTCCAGCAGCTCAGGCCTGAGAGCATCAGCCTGGTCTTAGGGTGGCTTGTGTACCGTGGCCCATATCCAGGGCTGTGCTGCCAGAGTTAGCTCGTGGGGCAGATGTTCTGGAGTCTGAAAGGGCTAATGCATTGGCTGTCCGATTGCCCCGGGGCCTGCCCTCCCCAGACGTGGCCCTGTACCTGGGATGTATTGAATCCGGTTCGTAGGACATAGGCCACGCACCCGTTGTCAACCGCTGGGGAGAGAAGCAGAGCCACCGTCATGTCTGTCTCCTCATCCTGACTCCCTCGTAATCAAGCAGATGGGGGAGGGTGTGGGAGCCTGGACACCCCCAGACGCCCATGAGGCACCTACGCTTCAGGCCCGTGGTGGCTTTCTGCGGGGGGATGTGCTGTACCACCTTGGTACCCCCAAAGATGACGTGGAGCCGGGAGTCAGTCTGGAGATCCAGTACCCGGTCTGGGCTGAGGTCTTCGATGGGCTCCTGGGGAGGAAGATCGTGAACCTGGACGGCCAGGCCCACCTTGCCTCCTTCTCTGTCCGAGTTCCTGGACACCTGGACCTTGATGCTGGAATGAGCCAGCCTGACTGTGTGGGCTCCCCACCTGACCAGCACAACCCAGCCAGCTCCCGGGTCCCCAGCCTCACCCCGTCCTGTCTTCTCCCCACTGCACTCACAGTGCCCGCTCCCTGGGGCCTGCACCTGGCCTCGTCCAGGACTCACCCCTCTAGGCTGCTCCCAGCCCACCTTGGTCTGACATTGCAGGGCACCAATGTACGCTGGTTGCCCTTGGCTCTCTGACCTCCTTCCTCGCCCCCAGCACCCAGCTCCCCCGTCCACAGCACTCAATGGTGCCTACCCTGCCTCCTCTGCCTGTGCCTGGGGAGGATCCCGGCCACCCCCTGGTCCTCCACCTCCTGGCCTGTTTCCTCCCGAACAGCTTAGGACCCCCAGCCTCTGCCAAGCACCTTCATCTGTGGCACGGATTCCCCCGTGAGCATGGCCTCATCCACGATGCAGCGGCCTCGCAGCAGAAGCACGTCACACGGCACCAGGTTCTCCTGCGGGGAGCGGCCTGCAGGGCAGAGGCAGGAGGGTTGGCCAGAGGCCCTGAGGCTGGGGCTCCCCCTAGGACTGAGCGGAGCCCAGTCTCACCGATGGAGACGATGTCCCCCGGTACGATCTCATCGCTGGCAACGGGCCTCCACTTGCGGCTTCGGTAGACCTGGGCAGGGCACAGGGATGTCAGCACAGACGCCAGCTCTGCCGCGCTCCCCACCCGGGTCTCCCCGGTGGCCGCACCTGGATCATATGAGGTTTGTTGCCCATCTTCCGGATCTCCGACATGTTCCGCATCTGCTGCTGCACCAGCGAGGCCTCGAACGCCACCAGCATGGACAGCGTGAAGACGCTGTAATACCAGTACTCATCCAGGCACCAGAGCCCCACACAGAACACCTGCGGGACGCCAGCCTGTCTGTCTTTGCCCCACCTCCCCTGTTCCCAGGAGCCCCTTCCGCCACAGACTCTGACCCATGAGGACAGGGAGCAGCTTTCAGGTTTAGAAGTGGTGGGCAGACTTACTCCAGCTAGGAAAGCCCAGGGGAGGAAATGGGGAGACGAGCCAGAGCTGCTGCCTTACCTGAAACACAAAGAAGGGGGCTGTGGCTCTCTCCTTGAAAAGCTCCGAGAAGTCAGGCACCACCATCTCAGCCCTGAAAAAGACAAGGTCCCTCCTGTTCTCAGGGCAAGGCCTCCGGGGTGTGGAGCCTCCACCCTGACCCCTTCCACCTGAGCATGACAGGCCTCCCTCAAGAAACCGAGAGCCACATGTGGGTGTCAGGAGCCGTGGTGAGCGGGAGGATCCATTTGACTGTGGCTCTCCCTCATCCTGGCCGCGCCTGGGGTAGACACGCTGCCCACCCACAGCCCTCAGCTCTGTAGAAGCCAGATGCAGCTCCTGAGTCTGCAATATGCTCTTCCCAGCAGCCTGGGGCTGGTGTGAGACGAGAGCCCCATCATCTCGTCGGGTGACACAGCAAGTAGGGAAGGAAGCTCCGATTGAAGGATGGGAGCCCTGAAGCTGCAGACAGCAGAGGACACCGAGCTCCAGCCCCACCAGAGCTGAGATTTTCTAAAAGATTCCTGAATTAAAGCCCCACAACGGTCGAGCATAGTGGCTCACAGCTGTAATCCCAGCAGTTTGGGAGGCTGAAACAGGAGGAGCACTTGAGCCCAGGAGTTGGAGACCAGCCTGGGCAACAAAGCAAGATCTTCTCTTTGCAAAAAATTTGGGTGTGGTGGTGCGTGAGCCTGTGGTCCCAGCTACTTGGGAGGTTGAGGTGGGACAAATGCTTGAGCCCAGGAGTTCAAGGCTGCAACTGGCCATGATCACACCACTGCACTCTAGCCTGGTTGACAAAGTGAGACCCTGTCTCCAAAAAAACAAACAAAAAAAGCTCTAGAATGCAAACAGTTGGGCCTCTGGGTCCGTTCTGCAGCACTGCGTGCCGTGGCCCAATCTGATCAGGGTGCCAGTCACGTCAACTAGGGCCATTATCACTCTGTCTTATGTATGGGATGTGAGAAGAGAAAACCAGAAAGCAGCCCTGCTGCTAGAAAACAATAAGCCTGGCTGGGCGCGGCGGCTCATGCCTATAATCTCAGCACCTTGGAAGGCTGAGGTGGGCAGATCATTTGAGGTCATGAGTTTGAGACCAGCCTGGCCAGCGCAGTGAAACCCCGTCTCTACTAAAAATACAAAAACTAGCCTGGTGTGGTGGCACGTGCCTGTAGTCCCAGCTACTTGGGAGGCTGAGGCAGGAGAATCACTTGAACTCAGGAGGTGGAAGCTGCAGTGAGCCAAGACTGCACCATTACACTCCAGCCTAGGTGACAGAGCGAGACTCTGTCTCAAAACAAAAACACAAGAAAAAACAACAACAATAAGCCCTTCCCTTGAATCTTGCTGGGCACCACTGCGTGAGTTAAAAACAGCATGAAAGGGAACACAGCTGCCACGGGCCATTAATGTGACTGGAGTAGAAGCTGCTAAATGTTTCTTATAAATCCTTGTATTAGATTGACAGTTGTGGTCGACATATTTGTAATCTCTGAATAGTAACTAAGTCAGGAAAGAGCTCCCTGGGTGTTCTGTGGGTTTCTGGGTTGAGCACCATTGTCACAAGGCCGTGACGGGGTTTGGAGCCCATTTCTCCTACTCCCAGCTATGTGTCACATTCACAGTTTTGGTTAAGGTGAAAGGACAGGGTATGCACTGCACATTGGCCATTCTACTCGGTACAAAAAAATGCAGACACAGTCACTGTGTTCATTGCCATTCTTTTTTTTTTTTTTTTTTTGAGACGGAGTTTCGCTCTTGTTACCCAGGCTGGAGTGCAATGGCGCGATCTCGGCTCACCGCAACCTCCACCTCCTGGGTTCAGGCAATTCTCCTGCCTCAGCCTCCTGAGTAGCTGGGATTACAGGCACGCGCCACCATGCCCAGCTGATTTTTTGTAGTTTTTGTAGAGACGGGGTTTCACCATGTTGACGAGGATGGTCTCGATCTCTTGACCTCGTGATCCACCCGCCTCGGCCTCCCAAAGTGCTGGGATTACAGGCGTGAGCCACCGCGCCCGGTCCCGCCATTCTTAAAGTGCTGGGACGTGCAGAAGTGAAACAGCGAGAACTGCAGTGTTTAGCTCAGCTGCAGTGACTCGTGCCTGGAAGCCCAGCACTTTGGGAGGCCGATGTAGGAGGACAGCTTGAGGCCAGGGGTTTGAGACCAGCCTGGGCAACATGGCGAGACCCCATCTCTGCACAAACAAACATTTTAAAAGAATTTAAAACGAAGGGCCGGGCGCAGTGGCTCACGCCTATAATCCCACCACTTTGGGAAGCCAAGGCGGGTGGACCACGAGGTCAAGAGATTGAGACCATCCTGGTCAACATGATGAAACTCCATCTCTACTAAAAATACAAAAAAACATTAACTGGGCATGGTGGCGCGTGCCTGTAGTCCCAGCTACTCGGGAGGCTGAGGCAGAAGAATTGCTTGAACCCAGGAGTTGGAGGTTGCGGTGAGCCAAGATCACGCCATTGCACTCCAGCCTGGGCAACAAGAGCAAAACTCCATCTCAAAAAAAAAAAAAAAAAAAAAAAGAATTTAAAACAAAGCTGCTGCTGTGGATGGGCCAAGGGCCAGGCTCCTGTGAAGGGCTTTACACTCAGGGAGGGGTCTCACACCCCAGGGCTGGGCCTTCAAGCTGCAGACTCTTTGGGGTTCCTGTCAGCAGGCAAGTTCAGGGGAGACTGGACTAGAGCACAGTGATCTGGCACATTTGGCTAACGGGGAAGATCTGGCTGGCGCGGTGGCTCACGCCTGCAATCCCAGCACTTTGGGAGGCCAAGGTTGGCAGATCACCTGAAATCAGGAGTTCAAGGCCAGCCTGACCAACATGGAGAAACCCCGTCTCTACTAAAAATACAACAATTAGCTGGGCGTGGTGGTGGGTGCCTGTACTCTCAGCAACTCGGGAGGCTAAGGCAGGAGAATCACTTGAACCCAGGAGGCGGAGGTTGCAGTGAGCAGAGATCATGCCACTGCACTCCAGCCTGGGCAACAGAGCAAGACTCAGTCTCAAAAATAAAAAATAAAATAAAATAAATAAAAGGGCAGATTCCTCCGTCCTGCTTTCTAGGCACCCTTAATCAGGAGGGAAGCAGGACAGAAAGGCACAGGCATTACAGGCAAATCAAGGACTCACTTGTTGCTTCCAAATTTCTTCTCAGCTGCTCGGATCTCTGAGTCTTCCTGGAAGCCTCTGTTGCTCTGATAGTAAGAGAAGGCATTTCCCACAGGAAAGGCCACGGGGAGAAACTGCTTCTTCTCCAGGGCATCGTAGGAATACTTGATCTTCTGGAATTCGAAGGACAGCACCTCGAGCCCGTCTTCGCCCTGTGGCAGAAGGTGTGTTTGTGGCAGAGGCCCCGACCTTGGGGTGTCAAGGCCTGGGAATCCCATTCAAGCCCCTCCTTTAGGAGCCCAGCAGGCAGTCCCTACCTTGTCACGGTGCAAGGCCACGAGCTCTGTGGAGCCATTGTTGGGGGTCGGCACCACCTTCACGAAGGTCGCTTTGCTGGGGTCATACTCCTGACAGAGACAAAGCATTGTGGCTGAGCTCTTCTCAACCCACAGTTCCAAGACCTCCCTGGGGAGGTTTTGGGTGCAGCAGCTCTTTGGGTATGTTCTGAAACATGCCACTGGACTCTGGTGCTGCCTCGGTCACTCCCTCATCTGTCTTCAGGACAAGGGAGACCACTTTGCAGTGCCTCTGGTGCCGTGTCTTAAAGCTGGGAGCACAAGACTGGGCACAGTGACTCAAGCCTATAATCCCAGCACTTTGGGAGGCCAAGGCGGGAGGATCACTTGAGGTCACGAGTTCGAGACCAGCCTGGCCAATGTGGCGAAACCCTGTCTCTACTAAAAATACTAAAATTAGCTGGGTGTGGTGGCACACACCTGTAATCTCAGCTACTCAGGAGGCTGAGGCAGGAGAATCCATTGAACCCGAGAGGCAGGGGTTTCAGTGAACCGAGATTGCACCACTGCGCTCCAGCCTGGGTGATAGAGTGAGACCCCATCTCAATTAAAACAACAAACAAAAACAAAAAAGCTGGGAAGCTGCTCAGACAGCATCCAATGCCCAGGGCTCTGCTCTGCTGACGGTGACATGAACTCAAACAGGAAGAACGTTGCCAGGCACCCACTGAGTACGCCCTCAATTCACATGAGCCAAGCCCCCGTCACAGGACACCCCGTCTCCTGCTCAGTGCTCCCCTCCTCCACCAACCCTGCTCACTCCACTCCATGAGTGCACACACACATGAGGCTCAACCACGCCTCAGCAAAGGGCCTTGGCATGTGCTGTTTTCTCTGCCTGGAATACACATTCATACAACCAGCTCCCTTGCTGCCTCAGGCCTTTGCTGAAACATCACCTTCTCAGGAGCCTCTCCCTGGCTGCCCCATCTAAAGTTCCCTGGCAATGTCCCATCCTGTCCTGATGTTAGATGTCATCTCTCTTTAGCATTAACTGCTGACTCTGAGTTCTCCTGCCCAGTAATATCACAAGGGCAGAGGAATTTGCTGTTTTGTTCACTGCTGTTTCCCCAGCACCTGAGACACAGAAATGCTGAATGGTGCTCGTTTAATGCGCCCTGGACCCCGTGAGCCACAGCCTTCCCTCTGTGGCTCTGCTAGACAGAGCTGCACAGAAAAGGGGGAGCACGACAGTGACCCGCAGAAACAAAGCACCACCCCACGGGTAGCTCATGGGCCTCCAAAGCAGGCAGCAAATAACAACAATCAAGTAACTACAAATTCGGGTGATGTCATGGAAGAAAGGTACAAGAGGCTATACACCGTGCTGGCCCCAGGGCAGGCACTTTGCAGATATCATCTCTGCTTCTCACAATGGCATCCAAGGTAGGTGTTACGGTTCTCACTTTACAGAAAAGGGAAACTGGAACCCAGAGAGCAGAAGCTGCCCTTTCTGAGATCTGAATCAAACCCAGATCTCCCTCTCTTGTCTGACAGCTGTTTGGCTCCGTCCACTTCTCCATCCCTGGAGAGGAAGTTAACAGCTAAGCTGTTCAGCTCAGGTCAAAAGACCGCTGAAGTCTGAATGGTGCCATGGTCCCCTCAACGACTCCTTTATTTTGTCCCCCACTGGGATCTTTCATTGTACTAACTCAAAGCTACCAAGTTGAGCTCCTCCCCTGGGATAAGACTCTTTGAAGGAAAGAACAGGTTCAGTCTCTCAGGAAAGGAAAATGAGGATTCAACCCTCATTCAGAGCCAGAGAGGGTGGGGGGCTTGCTTTTCTGTACCCCTGGATGCTGTTCTGTTTTCGTCTTCTTGAGGCAAACACACTCCTGGGATCAGGGGGGAACCTTCCTGATATACCTCAGTGTCCATGGTTCCAAACCTGCTGGTGTCACCTGAGGCAGGCCCCGAGAGAGGTGGCACAGTCACTGCTTCCAGCCCAGGGCAGCTCGCAGTCACCAACTTCTCTGGCGACGCTTGCTCACTCAGAACTCTAAACTGTGGGTCAGGAGTGTGACCCTGCTTGCTGTTGTATCCTGAGCAGAACTATCACCACCATCATCGTGCAGACAGACATCATGTTAAGTGCCCCGCTTATAAACACCTCCTGCCTCTCTTAAACATTGTAATTAACTGCATTTCATGCTTCTTTCAGTCACAGTATGGAAGACCACTGAGCACCACACAGCAAGACTTGGTTCAGTCTAAGAACCATGTAAAGTTTCACAGATGGGGGAATCTACCCCAGTGGTCTCGTCTTACACTTTGAAAACCAAGGTAGGAGACAGATGAGAAGGAAGGTAGGGCGGTTTCCAGACGAACGAGAGTAGTCTCTAAGATGGTAACTAGCATGAACAAGTCCTACCTGACCTGGGCGACGTATGCTGGCCCCTGCGCTAGGCTTTTCATAGGTTTTACATTACTGAATCTAAATGAACTTATTAAGGAGGACTTCAGAGAAAGGAAATAACCCGCACCAGGGTTGCACAGCAAATCAGCAGCGGGGTCGTAATTAAGCCTGCGCCAAAGTGTAGAGGACGCCCCTGTGAACCCAGGTCCAGCAGACGGGTGGCCCAGGATGGGATGGGGACCGACAGGAAAGCCGCAGCTGGGACCCACGGCGAGACCTGAACGTGCTGGGGGTCGGGCTCGCGCGTGCACACTTACCGGGGTGCAGGTGAGCGCGCAATGCGCGTGCACGGACCAATGCCCCGAGAGGACAGTGAGCGCGTGCGCGAGGCAGATGGTGGCAAGCACAAGCAGCGCGGCCTCGGGGATCTGCACCCAACTGCTGCCCCAGCCCCAGCAGCCAGTGGCTGCGGCGCCCAGCCAGGCCGGGTAGAGCAACCCGGCAAATGGCAGCACGGTGAGGCGCCGCAGCAGCGCCAACCGCCGGTATGGCCATACGGCAGCGACCAGCTCGTCACCGCTCGCTATGAGCGCCGGCCCGGCGGCAAGGAGCGCGCGCGGCTGCGGCCCGGGATTGGGCTGCCCGCCAGGCCGGGCCCCACAAGGCCGGGCCCTGCAGGGCACCGCGTTGCCAACCGCCGCCGCTGCCGCCATCTTTCCCAGCGCCGCGCTCACTTCCGGGCAGAGGCACGCCTCACTTCCGAAGCTTTACTTCCGGTAAGCCCAGGGCGCCGCCATGGCAACCTGGACTAGGAAGAGCCAGGACAGCAGAGCAGGCTGGGCCTGGCAGGGACAACCGCGGGTGCCGCCATGACAGGCCGTGGCCGGAAAAAGAGGTAGGGCGCCGCCATGACAAAGAGGGACTGAAAGACCTAACAGTGCCTGCCTCTACTGCCACGCCAGACTGAGACCGGAAAAGACGAAGCCGGCAGAGCGGGCTGGGCGCCACCCTGACAACCTGAATCGATAGAAGCGAGCCCTCCTCCTTGAATACACCGGCCTCACCTGTCACGAGAGGCGGAGCCTGGACTCTGCAGAGGCGGGGTCAGGGGAGCGCCGGCGTTCAGGAGGTGGGGCCTGCTGCGGGGGCGGGGCTTGTGAGGGGCGGGGGCGGGGACCGGCCAGGCCACACCGGACAAGAGACTTTTTTTTTTTTTTTTTTCCTGAGACAGTGAGACAGAGTCTTGCTCTGTCACCAGGCGCTAGGCTGGAATGCAATGGCGCGATCTTGGCTCACTGCAACCTCTGCCTCCCGGGTTCAAGCAATTCTCCTGCCTCAGCCCTCCGTGTAGCTGGGACTACAGGCGCGCGCCACCACGCCCAGCTAATTTTTGTATTTTTTAGTAGAGACGGGGTTTCACCATGTTGGCCAGGGTGGTCTCGACCTCTTAACCTCGTGATCCGCCCGCCTCGGCCTCCCAAAGTGCTGGGATTACGGGTGTGAGCCACCGCGCCCAGCCAAGTGCGTTAATGTAATAGATAAGAATTACAAGGCCGGGCGCGGTGGCTCAAGCCTGTAATCCCAGCACTTTGGGAGGCCGAGGCGGGTGGATCACGAGGTCAAGAGATCGAGACCACCCTGGTCAACATGGTGAAACCCCGTCTCTACTAAAAATACAAAAAATCAGCTGGGCGTGGTGGCGCGTGCCTGTAATCCCAGCTACTCAGGAGGCTGAGGCAGGAGAATTGCCTGAACCCGGGAGGCGGAGGTTGCGGTGAGCCGAGATCGCGCCATTGCACTCCAGCCTGCGTAACAAGAGTGAAACTCTGTCTCAAAAAAAAAAAAAAAAAAAGAATTACAAAAACTTACCACTTAAATATAAAAACTGAAAAATTGCTGTTTACTTGAAATTATATAGTTCTATATTGTTAACTATACTGCTGCATAAATGCTATTTGAACAAAACCACAATAGGATTAAGAGTACCAATTAGTAAGATTAAACAATTAATATGTGTGAGAAACAGTAACAATATTTTATAATGTTTCTATTTGTCCTCTGATAAAGTTAATTTATTTAAGCTTAGAAAAAAATCTTGGCCGGGCGCTGTGGCTCACGCCTGTAATCCTTGGCCACTTTGGGAGGCCGAGGTGGGTGGATCACCTGAGGTCAGGAGTTCAAGACCAGCCTGGCCATCAGGGTCAAACCCCACCTTAAAAAAAAAAAAAAAAAAAAAATCTTTACTGTGGCCGGGCGCGGTGGCTCATGCCTGTAATCCCAGCAGTTTAGGAGGCCGAGGCAAAACTCTACCTCAAAAAAAAAAAAATCTTTATTGGATATTTAAATTTTGTAGATTATATTGTTGCATATTTTAATTTTTTTTAGATGGAGTATCATTCTGTCACCCAGGCTGGAGTGCAATGGCTCAATCTCGGTTTACTGCAACCTCCGCCTTCCGGGTTCAACTGATGCTCCCACTTCAGCCTCCAGAGTAACTGGGATTACAGGCACCCTCCACCACGCCCGGCTAATTTTTTATATTTTTAGTAGAAGTGGGGTTACACCATGCTGGCCAGGCTGGTCTCCAACTCCTGACCTCGTGAGCCTCCTGCCTCCGCCTTCCAAAGTGCTAGGATTATAGATTTGAGCCGCGGCGCCCTGCCCATATTCTTTTGTTTTGAAGGAGCCTCACTCTCCCCCAGGCTGGAGTGCAATGGCATGATCTGGGCTCACTTGCAAGCTCTTCCTTACAAGTTCAAGCAATTGTCCTGCCTCAGTCTCCCAAGTAGCTGGGATTACAGGCATGAGCCACCATGCTGGCTAATTTTTGTATTTTTAGGAGAGATGGGGTTTCACCATGTTGGCCAGTCTGGTCTGAACTCCTGACCTCAAGAGATCTGCCTTCCTTGGCTTCCCAAAGTGCTGGGATTACAGGCGTGAGCTGCCGTGCCCAGCCACTGCATATATATTTTTTTATTTTTTATTTATTTATTTTTTTGAGATGGAGTCTCGCTCTGTCGCCCAGGCTGAAGTGCAATGGCCTGATCTCAGCTCACTGCAACTTCTGCCTCCTGGGTTCAAGCAATTCTTCTGCCTCAGCTTCCTGAGTAGCTAGGATTACAGGCATGCACCACCACACCTGGCTAATTTTTGTATTTTCAGTAGAGAGGGAGTTTCACCAGGTTGGCCAGGTTGGTCTCGAACTCCTAACCTCGTGATCTGCCTGCCTGGGCCTCCCAATGTGCTGGGATTACAGGTGTGAGCCACCAGGCCCAGCTGTATATTCTTAAGATACATGAATATAAGACTTTGTAAAAGGAGAAAGGAAATGTAATAGGACTTAATCAGATCATAATATTTAATAAGATAATCTTCAGTAAAAATAGGAATGACATGTTTCCTTCTGTCCCATTATATAGTGCGGTATACTTAGTTTTTCAGTTTTTTCTCTAATATTCTTTCCCATCCGAGGTCCAAGAATCTGCTCATGGCGTCTGGGACTGGACCCCTTTCTGGTAACAATACCTTTATAGAATGTTTACTCCAGTTTTTCCCTGCATTTAATAATTTTGTTCACTTTCAGACATGTTTTTATTTTCTTGACTGAAGACGAGAAGCCTGAGAAATAAGGAGTAGGAAGACTTGGCCATGGGACCAACAGCCTCATCCCAAATTCCTGCTCTGTGGAGGACATCAGGCCCTCCTGTCTGTTCCAGTGTGACTTGGGAGTCTCCCCAGCTCCAACACAAGGGAATGGCTTTATTGAACACGGAGTCTGGAATTTCTTTTCTTTTTTTTTTTAAAGATGGGGTTTTGCCATGTTGCCCAAGCTGCTCTCGAACTCCTGAGCTCAGGCAATCCACCCACCTCGGCCTCCCAAAGGGCGTGAGCCACTGCGCCCGGCCCGGAGTCAGGAATTTCATGCACACTCGTGTGACCGGTGTTCCGGAAAAAGAGCAGGGAGGACCCACCGAGTACAGGAAGCCGACAGTGCCGACTCTGGAAAGCCGAGAGCAAGTTCTGCTTCCACGCAAGTCCAGGTCTAATGTCCCAGAGAAAGCCCCGTTGGGAGAGGCTGCGGGTAGCACCTGTCACTCAAACCCCACACAGCCAGGATTTGGATCACTTCTCCTGTCGCTCAAGCCCCAGGGAGGGAGGGGCCCTGGGGCATCATCCAATCAGAGGCGGCGTGGTGCAAACTATCCAATCAGGTGCGCCGAGGGGGGGGCAATTCCAAATCCCTAAGCGGTCTCTTTCCGTCGGGGCCCAGCTTGGGTCCGGGTTTTAGTTGGTTCGGGGGGTCCCAGGTCCTCGGATACTGCGGCTTCTGTCGCGTGGAACCAACTCTGGCTGCTGGAGCCCCAGGGAGGACCCAGGACATCCGGAAACCAGAAATGGTGAGCGTGCAGAGCCTGGGCGTCCGGAGACCTGAGGACGGGCTGGTCGGAACCGGCTGTGATGGGACTCGAATCCTCCTGTCGCGGCTCGGCCCTTGGTCCCCTCGTCCTCAGGATGGGGCTGGACCGGCAGCCGGGACCCCGAGCGTCCTGTCACGTCCCTGCCCGCGACTGCACCTCCGGCTCCGGCGCCCTCTCAGGGCAACTGCGCGTCCGCAGCCCCGCGTCTCCCCAGTTTGTGCCGGGGGCTCGGGAGAGTCATGGCGGCATCCCGCCTCGGGTATGGGTTTCTGGCGGGAGGAGTCTTGGCCTGTGGGGTCCCCAGTTCCTCCTTTCTCGGTTAGGCGGCCGCCGTTTCCCTCTCAGTCTTCCTAAGGTGTGGGAAGACCCGGCTGGGTCTCAAACCCGCGACCCCATCCCCCAGCCTTGCTTCTCCTAGGGCTGCAGTTGTTGTCGTGGAGCGAGCATAGAAAGTTAACAAGAAAACAAGTATGCCAAATTACAGGGTGTTTAATGCCGGCGGCCACGGAGGACTCACGTCTTTCTAACCCCTGGCCCCGAAAGGAAGGTGTCAAGACCTTTTATACCCGTAAAAATCACCTTGGGAGTGAAGGTGAGGGGCGGGAGTGTGGGTGAGGGGCTTCAGACATTCCGAGGGCTAGTGGATTCTGTATATCACCTTCTGGGCGGAGATGAGGGTGAGGGGTTCCGGACATTCGAGGGCCAGGGGACTTATTGACATTCTGATTGTTACTTAAGTGGTTCACAAAAGTCAAGATTAGCATTTGTTTACACATTGTCTGGGTGGGGTGGCGATTACAATCCTTAATTTCTTATTCACATTTGGGTTATAGAGAGCAGTTTCAACAGAAAGCTGAGGTATGGTTGAGGTATGCAGGTTTATGGGGCTTTTTACCATGTCACACAGTAAATCCCTAAATTTCCAGTTCTCTCCCCGCATTCGCCAACCCCAGCCTCCCCTCTTTATTTCACATGATCATTATTATTATTATTGAGGCAGAGTATCCCTCTGTCCCCCAGGCTGGAGTGCAGTGGCGTGATCTCTCACTGCAACCTCCGCCTCCCGGGTTCTAGTGATTGTCCTGTCTCAGCCCCCCAAGAAGCTGGGATTACAGGCGTGCGCCACCACGCCTGGCTAATTTTTGTATTTTTAGTAGAGCCGGGGTTTTACCATGCTGGCCAGGCTGGCCTGGATCTCCTGACCTCAGGTGATCCTCCCGCCTCAGCTTCTCAAGGTGCTGGGATTACAGGTGGGAGCCACCGCGCCTGGTCATTTTACATTAACTGTTCCCCATGCTACATTTCAAACAGACACAGTGTTTTTTTTGTGGTTTTTTTTTTTTTTTTAAGACGGGGTTTCCCTCTTGTTACCCAGGCTGGAGTGCAATGGCGCGATCTCGGCTCACCGCAACCTCTGTCTCCTGGGTTCAGGCAATTCTCCCGCCTCAGCCTCCTGAGTAGTTGGGATTACAGGCACGCACCACCACGCCCAGCTAATTTTTTGTATTTTTAGTAGAGACGGGGTTTCACCATGTTGGCCAGGATGGTCTCGATCTCTTGACCTCGTGATCCACCCGCCTCGGCCTCCCAAAGTGCTGGGATTACAGGCTTGAGCCATCGCGCCCGGCCCAGACACAGTGTTTTAATTGTTATCTTTTCCACTGAGCCCTACACTGCCATTTCGTGAAAGGTTTGTTTTCTGTTT